GAAAACCCGGCAGTTCTTAAAAGCTGAAGAATTCCAAAGTAACTCCATTATTTTTACAGGAAAATACAACAAAGTATATAGTTTACATGTAGCGCATCGATTCTGCATGTTATGTAAGACTCTCACTCTTCACACTAGAGTTTATGTTACAACAAATACACAAACACAGGTGCGCTGCGCATCCATTCAAATGAACTGAAAAATATCACAGATCGCTTGACGGAGAGTGAAACTCTGAAGCGCTCAGTCAGAGTGTTCTGTGAGTGAAAATCTGTGAGTGAAAATATATCTGTGCTAATCATATACTCAGCCTCCAACTCACACACTGGCGAGTAAAATCTGAGAATTGATTAGCCATTGGCTGATATTAGACATCATTTAGTCGCCCAGAGTGAAGATTTAGTCGCATATGCGAGTGATTTACTCGCAATGTAGAGGGTTGACCGTCTATGAGCACGAAGCGCATTGTAAGTGCCAAAAATGCTTTACATGTCTTGAAATAATAATTTATAATTTCTAAACATTGACTGTCAGTCTTTATTCACCTGTTTCTCATTAAAACGAAAGTAAATAGTGTAAATTGCATAGCTAATGTCATAGAATGGCATATTGTAACACAGTGTTACAACGTGCCCCATCTGTGCAACTGGAATTTAAAACTGGTTAGTGTCTTCTGCTAGTAATCAAAGCATTAAAAAACTATCTGAACTGATAAATAACAGATTGGAGATTAAAATAATAGCAGATTTGTCTAATTTTAAATGAATAATAAAAACTGAGATAACAAATCTACTTAAGCCAGAATTTAAATGTTACTATGGTAAAATAAATATTCAAACCACGTGTGTTACAACTAACACCCCATTACTTTGTGCATCGCACTCATCGCAAGTTTATTGTTAAATTGTTAAATGCCCTTACATATCTCTGTCACCATTATAAGTGTTTGATCACCACATTTGAGTGATCATTGCAAAAAAATGTTTGTGTATATATATTCTGTTCATGTATATACTGTATTCTATATCCACCTTTTTCTTCAACGCGGAAGTAAGCCTATGGGTGAGACTTCCGGTTCATTAGCCGCTATAGGTAAATAACGAGGAGAATAACAACGTGCAGTAAACGGTAAAACTGTTTGCACTACAAACCAGTGTGTTCATAATTAAGATAATACATTAAAATAATATGATAAGACACACCAACTTTCAATATCAAGCAGCAAAACGAACTGTTTTGCTCAGCTAAAAATAGCTGGACGGAGTGGACGCAGATGAGATGTTTCATTTTTACGACAAGAAAAAGGTGGATATAGTACCAGTCAAATGTTCGGACACACGAATGGGAAAGTGTCCAAACTTTTGACTGGTACTGTACTATAATATACACAAAGAATATCGGCCGATATATCGATATCTGCCTTTTTTTATTACTCCCTAATATCGGTATCGGCCCCAAAAAACCCATATCGGTCGGGCTCTAACCTATATATATATGGAGATAATACCGCATACTGCGCTATTGAGCCACTCAAAATTAACGCAAGGGAAATTCCTTCACAGCGACAGCCCTACTGGGGAACTCAAGTGACATCAAGTCAACCTTTTTTAAAGTTTTCGGGAAAGGGATTCTGTGCAGTCTTAATCATAACACAGATAAGATGTACAATTTATCTCCATTATGATGCTTTTAACAGTCCATTGCAAACCACTGGAGATAATTGCTTTGTCCCTGGCCAGTTGGTTGTCCTCAGTGCAAAGTGGGAACCCGATTGACCATTGGCAATCTCGCTGTCCTTGATGTGGCTTCACAGTGTAATCATTCTCATGTGAACTTCATCCCCTCACTGGATCTCGAATCCCGTTTCTATTCGCCATTTTGTAGAAATAGAGAGTTGAATCTTAGAGCGTTGACCTATGCAAAGACTTCTGTGGCTCTCAGCCCTGTCAGGAGGCCTCACATATTATCAGGTGGCATGGCGTTGTGAAAGATTGTCATGGCTTGATCCTTCCAAATAGCAATCCGTTATTTATCGTTATAGTAGCTTTTTCAGGGTTTTTTTTTTGGTTCAGTCTTGTAGGATAGTCCATGAGATGTAAACAAGTAATATTTATTTTCTGCATTTACCATACGTATTATTTATTAGCAGCATGTGTCCAATAGATTTTTGAGTACTCCCGAGTCACTATGATAAGTGTTCAATAATGTTTTTATAAATAAATAATAAAATAATAATAATAATAATAATTTAGAACTGTGAGATTCAATTTGATGGTAAATGCCAGTCATTTGTTAATGTTTAATGTTTACTAATTTATTTTTTAATAAATTGCTGTTTGAAAAAAGCTCATGGCCTGTTATAAATAAATAATAATTACATTTTTTTTTATTTTAAATAAAAGCTGTGAAGTTTAATTTGATGGGAAATTTCAGGCATTTGTTAACGTTTACGGTTTAATTTTTAAAAAATATTTTTCTGTTAAAAGTCTGAGAAACCTTCCTGTTTATTTAAAGGAATATTACATAGGTTTCTCATTTCATTTTTGTTAGACTTTAATTATTGAAGCCAGTACATAAAAATCACAAACCCATGCCATTGGTTTACCCTGAGTCACTTCAATAACGATAATTTCATAAATAATATGTTTAATAAGTTTGAATTCAGAGCTGTCCCTTTCAATTTTATGATAATATTTCAGGCATTTATTAATATTTATAGTTAAATTATTAAAGTATTTTGTTAATTCGTGTTATATTTTCTTAAGGCTATATTATTACAGTTTTAATGAGGTAATGTAGCATTGGTGTGAACTACAGAACAGAAGTTTTGGTTTTGTGACAAAACTACTATGAGGATTGTCCCTGTAAGGGTGCGTTCACACTTGTCATGTTTGGTTCGATTAAAACGAACCCTGGTGCGATTGCTCTGTTAGTGCTGTTCGTTTGAGCATGTGTGAATGCTGCTATCCGAACCCTGGTGCGCACCAAACAAGCGGACCGAGACCGCTGAAAATATGGGTCTCGGTCTGCTTCCAAACCAACTCTGGTGCAGTTCGAATGATATATGAACACAACACGGACCAAATACTTCTAAATAAACCAAAAACAGGAAGTAATGACAAGAAGCGACGCTATGCGAAATGATTTGACGACACAGTGTAACCTAAACAAAATGAGCAGAGGGCAAATGTGGAGCAACGATGAGGTAAAGTGCATTTTATGAGCCCCTTGTGAGTTTGCAGGTGGTGAAAATAAAATTATATGTACACGCAAGAATGAGCGCGCTTAGTCCAGCAGACGGCATTAGGTGTTCGACTTAAAGCGGCGTTGAGCAGACCGATCGTGCTTTAATGGGTGCTTTGATATCATACCCCCGCAGCGCCGCTTTAAGTCAATGCACCTTTTGTTTGGGGTGTTCGGTGAGTTCTGTCACGATATATACATCATTCAAGTCGACCAATCAGATTGTGAACGTATCACTATGCCTTTAGGTTCGGTGTCTTTAGGTTCGCTGTCAAAAATGCCAATGTGAACGCTAAGCCGACCAGGACTAGGCCTGTCATGATATCAACTTTTTATTGTGCGATATATTGCGCCAGAAATAATTGCGATAAGCGATATTATTGTCATTTTAAAGACCATTTTATGCCACTGAATATATAATCATAATGTAACAGCATAATAATGCAAGAAGGCCTACACACTTCCAAATGACAACAAACTTTACATTTTTAAGAATATTTAGATCATGGAAATTAAGTATCAAAATATTAGATACCTTAAAAAACCTGAATAAATAGTAAATAAACATTTTCTAACTAAAAGTGCAAAGTAACAAGTAGAAAAAAAGAAAAATGCACAAAGAACTTGTATGGATATTTCTCCATCTACAGATTTTTCCCTGACCTTCTTTTCTCTGTAAATGAAGGGTGCACACTATTGCTGAAAAACACAATCACTACTTAGCAGTCAGATGTCCGTATGCACAAAGGCACAGATCCCTAAACAAGATCATATATGCAGATGAAACTTTTTTTTTTGTAGAAGCATTTTTTAAAATTTGAACTAGCACCTCATGACTACACCGCATTATGTACGAGAAGCTGCAATAGACACAGGCGCAAGTGGAATGTACAAAACGTGACATACATTTTTAAGTAAATATAATTGGCAATATATTGCGTCACCAAAAATGATTGCGGTCATGTACATATGTTGCGCGATAAGTGGATATATTGATTATTGCGACAGGCCTAACCAGGACCAAATCTATAATTTTCCTTTTTGGTCCGAACCAAACTACAAGTGTGAACTGTGAACACACCGTAAGTCACCTAAATTACTACTAACTGCCAAAATGTGAAACAGACTAATTTCACCAGGTTGAATACCCCATATCTGTTTGTGTGATTGCTTTCCAACGACGCATCAAACAGGTGCAGCTGAAGGGACAGCCTTGTGCCTCAGTCTTGTGGTTTGCATTACCATCGCTCTCCTGTTACTGTGTGAATCTCACTGTTAGCTAACTTTGTTGGCAGACAGCTGTGCATCCTACTGCACTCTGATGTGCCAAATGTGTCCCCTGCAATCTTGAACTGTCATATTACCATGAGGCCTCAATTCTCAGAAGACGTTTTCAGGTCACGTTGTGCAGATTAAGATTTAAGCCTCCTTTTTGACACTAAATGTTTTATTCAGTACCTCATTTCAACACCTCCTCCTTGAAGTTTAGCTTTACAGATTGTTTTGTTCATTGTAGGGTGAGGACAGTAAGGTTACGCGACCCAAGAGACCCAAGTTGTTGACCCAAGTTGTTGACTCAAGTTGTTGACATGTTCCCTGCAGTGTTAGATGATATCCTGTATCCTCCCTTCATTGAGTACATCACAGTGTCAATTCAGCCAACGCAAGACACAAGATTTTGTCAGATTTGTCTTAAATTAAACAACACTTAGAGTCACGTTTCTTCAGTCTGAAAATGTGTTTTTGTCTTTCCTCAGTTGCACAATGAGGACGAGCCCTCTGAAGGGGCCGCAGGTGCCGAGCCGTCCACATCCTCCCAGGCCGCTGCCGCTGTCGTAGGCATCAGCAACCCCGCAATGGATGCGGAAGCTCCGCCTCCTCCTTATACCAGCGTGGTGCTTGGAGCAACAGCTGCACCAGGTACAGACACCTGGATAAAGTTATTATTTCCAGAGTTAGAGCAGGAATCTACTAGATACTGTATGGCAATATTATAACTAGAGCCCGACCGATATGGGTTTTTTGGGACCGAGTTGAATGTAACGTGTACGTTCCCTTGGAACTGGAATCATGGTGGAATATCAAGTGAAGTCCACTTCGCAGGGCACTTATGGTCGAATAAGACGACGCTTGAATGCTGCCTGAACAAGAAACCTCCTTACTGAAGGGAAAGTGTTGACTGGTGTCACTATCTCACGAACGTGCCGGCGGATCTCCACCAAATTCGGGGGATCCCATCAGCTCGAGGAGCCCTCGAACGCCACCCTCCACGCGTCGGTAGCCCCCCGGGATCGCTAGATCAGATCTGCTGGACAAACTAAGTAATTACACCATTTCAAGCATTTTATCTGCATTATATGTTCTGCAAAAAAAAATTTCATATGGGCTGCATATTCGCCGATACGATATATCGGTGACAGGCTCATATCGGCCGATAATATCGGCAAAACTATATATCGGTCGGGCTCTAATTATAATGACATCATTGTTGTTAATCGACAGTAATGTGGTTTTGTTGAAGCCATCAATTTGCATTATTTCAACTGATATTTTAAATAATCGTGTTTGACAGGGAAATCCCTGGTGAAAAAACTACTTTACCCATGATGCTGTAAAGAAAATGTAATCTGAAAACATTAGGGTTGTCAGTCAAAATTAACACGTTAATTGTGCGATTAATTTATTAAAAATGTTTTTCTTCAGTTTGACGTGTTAAAAGTATTTTATGCAATTAATGCAGCATACATTTTTTTTCCTGCCATCCTTTGGTTAGCATTAGAAATAAATTACATTTTAACATATATTAAAGTTGAAAGTTATTTATTTATTTGTTTAAATAATATTTCACAACATTACTGTTGCCTTGGTGCGCATATTTTATTTTTCTAAAATGTAAAAAAAAAAAAAAAAACGGTAACACTTTACAATAAGGTTCCATTAGTTAATGTATTAACTAACATGGGCAAAGCTTGAACAGTACATTTATTACAGTATTTATTAATCTTTGGTAATGTTAATGAAAATACAGTTCATTATTAGTTTGTTAATTCACAGTGCATTAACTAATGTTGACCAGCACAACCTTTGATTTTAATAATGCATTAATAAATGTTGAAATTAAGTAAGATAAATAAATGCTGTAGAAGTATTGTTCATTCTTAATGTTAACTAATGAACCTTATTGTAAAGTGTTACCAAAAAACTTATCGATCCAAGTGGCAGCACTTAAGACTAAAATTATAAATTTAAATTACTGCATTGTTGTGTGGTTGCTAGTAGGGCTGAATCGATCGGTCTTAGCAGCGCTGCTTCAAGTCGAGCGCGGGCCATCAGCAGAAAAAGAAAAGAAATAAGTAAACAGCCAAAGGACGTAACTTAGAATGGGAGATGGATCGGTTTGTGAAAGGGAAGAGAAAAGCCATAGATGAAGTCGCACAGACCCAGGCAGCTGCTGGTCAGTCAAAAGTTAAATGCATAAAATATGACGAGGCATATCTTGCTCTCGGCTTCACTCACTGTGTCTATACACTACAGTTGTGCGTCGCGCCGCAACAGCTCTACACTGACGCAACAAAGCGACCGTTGCAAATCATTTTAACTTTGTGTCAGTACGTCATAAATAGAACAAGGCATCAGTTTAATGTCACGCCGCATCCAGTGTACACAGCGTGACTGATTATAATGGTTCTACTGTATTTTGCCGCTCGCATCCGGTGTAGACACAGTGTTTAATGTCGTTGGTGAGGAGAAAATCCTGTGTGTGTCCTATGCCTTAGTGGACAGCATGAAACCCACAAAAAATAAATAAATAACAGAGAGAGAATAATAAGTTATTCTCTCTATGCTATTTTTCAATGTTTCAAGTGATGCAGGTGTTTTTTTTCCCTGTAGGTTTTTTAAATAAAAAAAAGCATACATTTTTCATAATGTTTAGTGAAATTATTTGGTAGTCTGAGGTGGGATTCGGGAAAGGGGGGCAGATTTTTTTTATAGGTTTAAAGGGGGAAGTGACAAGAAAAGTTTGAGAACCACTGGTCTGAAGTTAACAGACAGTGTTTAAAAAGTGCAGTCCACATGTTTACATATGTTTATTACAGTGACTTTGAATTATCTAAAGTAGTGTGGTAAAGCAACAGATTTGTTTTTATATTTCTGCAATCTACTTTAATTTGTGTGATTTGTTACTGACTTTCATATTAATGTTTACACCAGGCTTATTTAAACATAATTATTAGGTTGGAAGTTCAAAAAATCAGTCAATGTACTGTGATTGTAGTTGTTAAATAAAAATGACATTCATATCAATTAATGCATCACCTAATTTCATCGTAACATATAGGCCTGGCCTACAGAAAAGAACATTTATGTTTAATCTATATAATATTGTGTTGATCATACTATACAATGATTTATAGCTTGTCTTTGTTGAATAATACAGAACATAAAGAG